AAAGATGCTTACTTTCACATTCCAATAGCGCCTCATCACAGGCCTTTTCTGAGATTCGCTTTCGAGGGACAGTCCTACCAGTACACAGTACTTCTGTTCGGCCTGTCTCTAGCTCCCCGTACATTCACGAAATGTATGGATGCAGCACTTTCCCCCCTGAGACGGCGGGGAGTGCGAATACTGAATTATCTCGACGATTGGCTGGTCCTAGCACAATCATACCCCTTTTCCACCAAAAATGAACTGGTTCGGAACTGGTGCTGGTTCAAAGTTGGTTCGGAGTTGGTTCAACTTGCGAACCTTCTCAGAACCTGTTTGTTTTTCCACTGACTAGAGCGCCCAGCGAACGACGTCGTTACGTCACTGTGTACGTCGCCATACATCTTAGCTAGAAACGCTTGCAAGTACAACATTACTTTAGGATTATCTCTAACTCGTGAACCAAGAAGGCTTTAAAAACAATTGAAATATGTAAGTCTTTTAATCTTTTCCTTTGATATGTAATCTTTTCTGATTAGTTGTACTCCTGTCTTGTGTCTTTTTTTCTTTCCATTTATTTGTTCTATATTGTGACTGTTTTCTCCTTTGCTTACATAACGTGTTCAATAAAAAAAATAAACTAGAAACGCTTGCGCCAACTTCAAGCATAACAATTACAATGGCGGACTACATCGTGTTTCTGCAAATGTTTTTCCTGGCTTTGCGATTCTATATTATGTCAGAAAATATGTTATCTAAACCCGCCCCCAGCCCCCGACGTAAGCATGACGTGGTAAAAGAACGGTTCTAGTCCAGCAAAGAGTTGGTGCCGCTTTGGAACCAGTTTTCCTGGCCGAGAACCGGTTCTTTGCCTGTCGAAACACAAAGAACTGGTTCGCGCGCAGGCACCGGCTCCGAACCGGCTCTCAAAATGCGTTGGTGGAAAAGGGGTATCAGAGAGTCAGTTAATAACACACAGATCTTGGATTATCAGCCATTTGGAATGCCTGGGTCTAAGAATCAATTTTGCAAAGAGTATGCTATCTCCCAGCCAGAAAATTTCTTTCCTGGGAATAGTTCTAGACTCGATGCAGATGACAGCTCGTCTCTCATCAGAGCGCGCGCTCAACATCCGGCGCCTTGCCACATCTTTCAGGGCGGGCACGCGCACCCCCGTCAAGCGGTTTCAGAGGATGCTCGATCTCATGGCCTCAGCATCGGCCGTACTCCAGCTAGGATTGTTGCACATGCGCCTTCTCCAACGCTGGCTCAAGAGCCGCGTCCCTACTCACGCGTGGCGTTCGGGCCACTTTTTAATCAGAGCGAACCACGGCTGTATAAAAGCCCTGACGCACTGGAAGGCCGCCGACTGGTATCAGGCCGGCGTGAGTCTGGGTGTGAACACAAGGAGAAAAATGATCACGACAGATGCCTCCAAAATAGGTTGGGGGGCCCTTTACGAGGGCAGGCCTGTCTCCGGCTTTTGGTCAAACCCGGAAAAGCGCCTACACATAAACTGTCTGGAGATGAAAGCGGTCGCTTTGGCTCTCAGAGCCCTGCTTCCACATCTAAAAAACGAACACGTCTTGGTCCGAACGGACAACATGACGGTAGTGTCGTACATAAATCGCCAAGGTGGACTCAGGTCGAGCTCCATGCATTCGATGGCCAGGAGACTCATCTTATGGTCCCAGCACAACTTGCGCTCGCTGAGAGCAGCGCATGTGCCAGGCGTTCTGAACCAGGGGGCGGACATGCTATCCAGAGACAAAATTCTCCCAGGAGAATGGGCTCTCAACCCTCTGACGATTCAGTGGTTATGGAAAATCTTCGGCGAGGCAGAGGTCGACCTCTTCGCCTCCAAGGAGAATGCGCACTGCCCTCTTTTCTTCACAAAAAGCACGGACGCGCTCGCCCAGAGCTGGCCGAGCCGCCCCTTATATGCTTTTCCCCCGATCGCGATGCTACCACAGGTCATCACTCGGGTCAGAGAGGAGAAAAACTCAGTGCTTCTGATAGCCCCACTGTGGAAGAACCAAACATGGTTTCCAGAATTGGTGCAAATGCAATCAGCACCACGGCCGATTTCGCTGAGGCCAGATCTCCTCAGCCAGGCCGACGGGATGATATTTCACCCCCGCCCCGATCTGTGGGCCCTTCATGCATGGCCCCTCAACGGGTTCCCAGGAACCTCACGAGCGGTGCGTTAAAAACCATCGCTGAGGCGCGGGCGCCCTCTACGAGACGCTTATATGCCCAGAAATGGAAAGTGTTCAGTGACTGGTGTAATACCAAGGGCTTGAACCCTGAAACATGCGAGATTACGAACGTACTCGCCTTTCTACAAGAGCTTTTGGAGGCGGCCCGCACCCCCTCCACGCTCAAAGTGTATGTGGCGGCCATTACAGCATCACATGACCCTGTAATGAAACGTCCATTGGGAAAAAACGACCTGATTATTCGTTTCCTGAGGGGCGCTAGGAGTATGAATCCCCCACGCCCCCCCTCAGTGCCGATCTGGGACCTGGCTACGGTCCTGGATGCTCTTAAAGGGGCCCCGTTCGAACCACTTCGAACCGTGTACCTTTAACAGCTCTCGCTCAAAACTGCGCTCTTGCTGGCACTCGCTTCAGTCAAGAGAGTGGGCGACCTGCACGCGCTCTCAACGAGCGCTGCCTGCCTAGAGTTCGGACCTAACGACTGCAGGGTTGTCCTTAGGCCAAAACATGGGTATATCCCTAAAGTGCTTCCCACTCCTTTCAGAGCACAGGTTATCTCCCTAACCGCGCTATCGTCTCCAGCAGACGAACGCGACGCTAATCTACTCTGCCCCGTTAGGGCTCTCAGAGTGTATCTGGAGCGCTCTGCCCTATTCAGACAGACAGAACAACTGTTTGTATGCTTTGGCGGTCGTACGAAAGGTTTCGCCGTTTCAAAGCAGAGAATCTCTCGCTGGATAGTTGAGGCTATAGCGCTGGCTTATGAAGCTAAGGGACTTCAATGCCCCTGGGGTGTCAGAGCTCACTCCACCAGGAGTATGGCTTCTTCCTGGGCATGGTCGAGCGGGACACCGATCGAAGATATCTGTGCGGCGGCAGGCTGGGCCTCACCGTCCACATTTATCAGGTTTTACAACCTACAGGTCCCGACATTGCATTCCAATGTACTATCGGCATGATGCTAGTAGAACTATGAGTTCATATCTAGATTGTGTATGTGCTTGTGTCACACTGAGCGCCTTCTGAGCCGCTCTGTATTTTTTTCCCCCACATATAAAGCTCGCCTCTGCCGGCTAGTTGGATGATAACTTTGCTTTTCAGCTCAGGCACCTGCCTCTGGCTGTTATAAGGCGAAGTCAGCACGCACAGCGTTTTGCATGGTGTTCCCTAGCGTAAGCTACTTGCGCAATAGGAGAGACCTCTCGAAAGGGAACGACTCGGTTACTAACGTAACCTCGGTTCCCTGAGAGGAGGGAACGAGTATTGCGTAAGCTCCCGTGCTTGTGCTTGGTTAGTTCGCTTCAGTCGATTTAACCTGAAGAACTCTCATGACGGGCCGCCCAATATATAGCTCTTGGCCACGCCCATCTTGGCGGGCTCTGATGCGTGCGGGCGCGAAGCGCGCTCATTGGTCGCGCGTTCAGAGTCGCCCCGTCATTGGTTCGAGCAAGTTGCCGCAGCACAGCCAATGACCGAGCTGCCTCGCTCATTGCTGTCTGCTGTGCAGCTGCAATGCGTTTTACATAAAGACTTCAATATTTCTCGAGAAAAGGAGTTTTCCCATAGCGTAAGCTACTTACGCAATACTCGTTCCCTCCTCTCAGGGAACCGAGGTTACGTTAGTAACCGAGTCGTTTTCTTATTATGAATATAATGTCACGCATCTATTCTTGTGTATGATTGATGTTTTGGGGACTGTTATACCAATATAACCAGTCAAATGGCCGTGATCCGACTGGCAGCTTACAGACGCTTGCTCGACGCTCATCCAGTCAGTTGCGGCTCATAGTGCGAGTATAACGCGTTGCCTGACACTCTCGCTGCATGGAAATAAATTGTTTTCTTATTATGAATATAATGTAACGCATCTATTCTTGTGTATGATTGATGTTTTGTGGACTGTTATCCAAATATAACCAGTCAAATGGCCGTGATCCGACTGGCAGCTTACAGACGCTTGCTCGACGCTCATCCAGTCAGTCGCGGCTCATAGTGCGAGTATAACGCGTTGCCTGACACTCTCGCTGCATGGAAATAAATTGTTTGGGATTATATTGGGAAAACAGTCCTCAAAACAGCAATCATACTAAAGAACATAATCATATCAACAGATGCATAATAAATGAGCTAGAAAGGGAGGAACACAAAACACAAAAACTGTCAAAAATCAATGGTTTCTGAAACTTGCCAAAGGCAGACTGCCAGACAACTAGCCAGCCACTGGCAGGTCACGTGACCTGCCAGTGGCGGCTCCTGCCAGCCAGCTGAAAACTGAACCCCCACTCAACATTTTCGTAGGCTACATGACGTTCGCTATCTGATTTTGTGAAACAAACCACTGATATCTATATAGTCTTTTTTATAGATAAGGAAACGTTTTTTTAAAAGAAGTTAAAAAAATGGCTCGGAATGTGTCGGAAATAGGCTTGAAGTCGTGTCCTTTAATTGGCATTCATTAAAACTAAAATAAACCAATAGTAGGCTAATATTATTAATAATAATAAAACAGCTTATAAATTTAGCATTTTCTGAATGTTAAGCGCCTCCTTTTTGACAAATAAGTAAACGTTTTTTTCTTTTCTTATGTAGGCTTGAATTCGTGTCCTTTAATTTAAATTCTTGGCAGAAGATTTGTAAAAAAAAAAAAAAAAAAAAAATTTCACTCAAAGTCAAAGATCTGGCAACCCTGCATGTGTTTTTGTTGTTGCTCAAGTCTCGTTTATCACATGATGCGAGTCACGTAGTCTGTTCTGTTGTTAAATAGCCGAGCGAGCGCGCTCCAGCCCTGCGGACAGACGGACTGACAGACAGACTCACTTCATCGGCTATCACAAGACCAGCGCTGTCTCCAACACGCTCCAAAATATCTGTGGCATTTTTTTAATGTTGTTAAAACTTTGTTGAGATAAGTTTAATCAGACACGTCATACAGACGGGTGTTGGATAGAAACCCTTTAGAGCCCTGATAAATCACCGTGTTTTGGTGTCAAGAAGTTTCGAGCGCAGTTCATCCACGATGTCCGCCAACACACAGCAGAGCAAGAGCTGCCCCATTCCCACGCGCGTGCTGCACCTCAAAGACTGGTCTCAGCTCCCGGACTGCTACAGTCAGACCCCTGGAGGAACACTCTTCTCCACCACTCCTGGGGGTAAGACTGCGTTTTAGGACTGTACAGTTTATTTGTTTGTTGAAGAACATGTATTTTGATGAATATTGTGTATCTTTTATTCTTCTATAGGGGAAAAAACTTAAACCAGCCTGAGATCTTAGCTGCATGGTCTCCCAGTGTGGTCTGTTTGTTGGTTTTAGGTGGATTTTTGGGAACTTGGGAGAGCAACTTTAACCAGCTAACCCAGCTAAGACCAGCAAACCATCTTGGAATGGTTTAAGCTTTATGTTGTAACACATTTTGACATCCCCCATTACTTTATTTTTTTATGTTGATAAAAAAAAAAAACACTTGTGTGGATGTTGTATATCAAATTAAGCAAGGGAATTTACTTATTCAAAATATTTCAAAAACGTATACTGTTTTCAAAGTCACTAAAGACTCATTTCTTGTTGGTTAAACTAATGGTGTAAACAAAAACACAAAATGAAATAATTTTTAAGCTTGACTTGCATTATTATATAGCATAGACCTGTGTTTTGATTAAATAAAGCTTTTTTTGTTGTTGCATTAAACCAGGGGATGAGCATGTTTTTGAAAAATAAAACTTCTGTTTATGTTATTAAATTGTAAAGATCTGAGATGTGAATTGTTTAACTGGTACTAAATTCCTGTTGCTACGCAAACGTTTGTTATGCTCAACAAGTTAGTAATTTATGGCAGACCGTCTGCAGCAAGATAGCCCAACTGCCATGCGTGTTGTTATGTAACACTGTCTGGTTATCTGATTTGCGACTTGCATGTCCCCAAAATGATAGGCATTGAGTTAATCTAATCATGTGAAAAACAAACTCATGACCCCTTTATTTCTGTTTCTCAATCTCCTTTGTCCCTCGCTAGAATATCTTTCGCATGTGGCTGTAACTGTAACTGTAGCACATTCAGAGGAGGAGGCAATTCTTAGAAACACCCCTCCTCCTCCACAGCTGTTGTGGATTTCAGGAATAACAGAACTCTGTGCTCTGGAAAAGGAGTTCATTCGGGCCATCATGGACGGTCCCCTCACCGCAGAATGAAAAATAACAGATCAGAGGCATGTGCATACATGGCATGCATATATATAACTATATGTACTTACTCTCTATAGGCTAGCTGTGAATCTCTGCCAAAAAAAATTTACACATGTACTTTTTGTTTACATCTTTACGGCCCATAATTCCACCTCAATATTATAGAAACTACATTTTTTATATATATATATATATATATATATATATATATATATATATATATATATATATATATATATATAATTTAAAGGATTTAATACAAAATTATAATTTTGGGGGAAATTGTGCTAAATTGTCACAATAAAAAAATAATATTCAAACATTATATTAAAGATAAGGCCCGGTTTCACAGACAGAGCTTAGATTAAGCCAGGTGTAGACCTTAGTTTAATTAGGACATTTGAGTTAAACTTTTATAAATGTGTCTTTGACAAAACAACATTTTACTGGTGTGCATCTTGAGACAAAACAATGCCACTGACAAATGTGAAGATATGCCAGTGCATGTTGCTTTCAGTTAAAACAGCTCAAACATGTATTTTAGTCTGGGACTAGCCTTGTCTGTGAAACCGGGCATAAAAAAATTCTTTATACAAAATGTAATTTCACATTTTTATTTCTGTTGATTCAGGGGGGACTGGGGGTGAAAACTGATTTTGAAAACTTTGAACCTAAACAAATTGCACACTTAGGCTATATTTAATTTTCCTGCGTTTGAAAAACGTTCACTTTCTTGAACTCTGAGATGTTGAAAAGCATGCTTCAGTGGAACAAAGTCCTGCAGAAGCTGTTGGGTTGGTCTCCCTGCATTCCACTGGCCAGAGCAGCTCCCGGTGGTGACCACTGTTCGTCCAACCCCTGTCCCGTCTCCGTCCACACCCTACCCCTCCCCCTCCTCTCTTTGTCCAGAACACATTGCACTGAAAAGCAAAAGTTGCGTAACATGTTTTTCAGCCACTACTGGTGGTACAGTACAGCTGCCGTCAACTACAACAGAGACGCTACTTCTTAACAGTTCTTAAGTCAGAAAACAATATAGGGTTAGTTAAGCGATGCAACTCCTTGTAACATGAGGTTAAACTCATCTGCTACACTGTGTTTCCCCCGTGGCTCGGCTCGGCATTCTCACGTGCAGACGTGCTCAAATTTCCTAGAACTAAAATGGGAGGTGCTGAGTCCTGCAATTCAGTTCACCCCATTTTTATTGAGGGAGCTTGAGAACTTCTTTTCACTTGCAAAATGTCAAACATTTGAGTCTTTGTTTGCTGTCTAATAGCATGGGCGTGTTAAGTGGCACATCGAGTTAGTTGCCATCTTTCTTTTATTTTGTTAAATAGATTAGAATTGCTGTTTAAATCCCAAGAAAACCATACGTCTGACTCGAAAGCCACATTTCAACGATTGCTTTTGAGTGTGTTGTTCTCTCACACGTGATAGTCTGCAGCCTAGAATGTAAATCTGTTTTTCTAGCCACGTGATTGGTTGCTATAATAAATGTCCCATCCCTCCTCCAGGAACTCGGATCATTTATGACAGAAAGTTCCTCCTGGACTGTAGGAACTCTCCCATTGCCCGGACCCCACCCTGTTGTTTGCCCCAGATTCCTGGAGTGACCATTCCTTCACACCACCCAATGTCCAAACTACAGGAACTCAAAGAGGAGTTGGAGGAGGAGAAGGATCTGGCAGGTAAAGTTGCTGTCTGCTCCAGAAAAAGAAAGAAAGAAAACCTGTTCTGTGATGATAATATTTCCAGGAAACATTAAGCCCTCAGGTTTCTCCTGAAACCAATTCTTTCGAGTATATTCTGTACTCTTTGGAAAACAAGGTTCAATGGGGTTCTATAGCCAATAAGCAAAAAAGCCTTCATGTTTAACAGATGATTTATTTTCTTTTAGTGATAAATATGTTTATGAGCTGTTTGATCCATAACATTTAATTAAAATAAAAAAATAATGAATTCAAACTAAATCCATAAAATGATACCATGATGGGAACCTCTAAAAGGTTTTATATATTATTTAAGAACCTTTTTAGATCCTGAATTTTCTCCATTCAAATGCCTCAAGGAACCAACCTCTCTATTTCTTTTTTTAAGCTGATGACAACCAGTTTGAGATGGACATTTGAGTCTTTCATCTACCTCCTGTGGAGAGCTCTCTATTTTATCTGTCGGGATGATGCTACTTACCTCACAATCAGCGGACATCACACACTCAGCAGATTAATGGGCTTTTTAATGAGCTAAACACCCAAAGGGTGTCTTTTTCTTTTGATTAAAAGTATATGTTCAACGTTTACCAGAAAAAAACATGATTGTTTGTAAGTGGTGGGATTTTAAAGGTCTTTATTGTACATATGGTACTTTCTACTTTTTTTTTTTTTTTTAAGAAAATGTAGCATTATGTGTAAGCCAGGACAAAACCATGGCAAAATCTCTCATTTCTGAGCATTATATCTCAGCAAACATTGTTGATTGTTTAATGGTATAGGACGATTAAATGCCAAATGAATGTCTGTTTTATATGTTTGGTGTTTCGCCTGGAAAAGCACATGAGAGCATAGATGTACACCACCGTGTCCCCTCAGGGTTTTCCTGGTGTTTCATTTACCTGGATTTCCTCAGGTTTTATTATTTTGATTGAAATAAAAAAAAAAAAAGAGAAAATACTCGTCCTTTGATCAATTTGGAGTTTGTGCAAAAGGCTATGGAAAATTACATATTGGGAAACTGCATTCTAATGATCTTGGTTTCAAAACTTTCCTACAAAAGTCATGTTAACTTCACTCTGTTAGATAGATTTGCATTTACAGAAGGAAATGCCAGTGCTTGCCAGGCAGAAAGATTTACAAGCAGATATTATGGTTGTCATGGAACACAACAACAGCAAAGAATTGGCATGAAAAAATTCTAATTAAAAAATATCCCATGAAGTGAATTATGATTGTTTTGGAGCAAAACAGAAGATATAAGTGGATATCATGGCCAAATGATGCTCAAAACTTTGGGGTTGGTAAGATTTTATGTTTTAGAAAAAAAGTCTCACTCACCAAGGCTGCATTTATTTGATTAAATATAATTGATTTCTGTGATCAAAGCAGAATTTTCAGCATCATTACTCCAGTCACATAGAAATCATTCTTATATGCCGATTAAGAATAAATTTTCATATCAATATCAAAAATAGTTGTGCTGCTTAATATTTTTGTGGAAATTGTGAAAAATAATCCTCAGGATACTAGAAAAGGCAGCATTTCTTTGAAATAGAAATATTTTGTAACATTGTAAATGCCTTTACTGTCACTTTTGTGACTCTTACCGACCCCAAATTTCTAAAGAGTAGTTTATATGACATTCCTAGATTAGGCTGGTAACAATGGCTTCTACTGGCAGATGCTGTAACTACACACCATGCCATGGCACTTTTGGACTCCCTTCTAGAATGTTTTATCTTAAAACTCTCAAAATGCACATTATTAGCTCAAGGGAAGACATTCTGGAATTGGATAAAGTGTACTGCTGTTTTAAATACTTTCAAGTTCTAACAAAAGCAGAAATGAAAGACGCATGCACTGCAGTAACTTCTCGATCTCACAGGTTAAGTTTGGAACAAGCAGTTTTATCCATGCATGTTCCTCTAGGCTGTTACAAAACTAATTACTGTCAGGTTTAGATACAAACTGGCCCAGTTTAACCAAAGCCTTTCTATTCTACATTTATTGGCCAGCTACCTCTATAAAACAAACTTGACTGAACTCTCTCAACCTCTATTACAGTGACCTAGTTTTCAGTCGCTGTAAGTAAGCAATAAGGTACGAGAGGCTGTGCTGTATCGTGAATAAGTAACGGCTGGAGGGCGTTGTTAGGCACGACGCGAAGCGGAGTGCCTGCAACCCCTTCAGCCGTTACTTATTCACGATACAGCACTTGCCTCGAGTACCTTATTGCTTTTATAAAACGGTTGCCACACAATAAAAATATTAAAGCCGAAAAATATGTATCTATGCAACTTTCATGAAGTAAAATCACTAAAAGCCTGCCTTCCGCTGGAAAAAATAGTCCCGGAACGTGAACAGCAACAGAAGTTACATATATTATTTCGCCAATAGATGGCGGCAAAGACTGTCTTTATGAGTGAGTGAGTGAGTGAGTCTGTAGAGAAGGCTTTTGAAAGGACTCGAACTTGTGATCACGGAGAAGACAGACGCAACTGACAGATGACTAACGTTATGCACGGAAAACCCCATGACTGTTAAAAGGACAAAATATGCAGCGGACATTCAAACGCATTTTTTTATTATGAATATAGGACTGACCTGAAGGAAAATGCTACGTCTACTGTAAATGCAGGTACACTCGCTTACTCGATCTCTCACAATGCTCTGCTCTAGCTTTAAATGAACAATATCAATGAGATGAAACATCTGTTTAAGTTGCTAAGAGTGGTTGCTAGGGGTGTTGTGTAGTGATACATAGAACCGTTGGGTGAAGCGGTCATAGCCGTGTTTTATCGTGAATAAAGCACAGCTATTGACCAATCAGAATCAAGGATTGGAACTAACCGTTTTATAATATGATTCATATCTTACAAGGATTTCTTTTAGACATAGGCCTACTCATTTCTTCAAATGCAAACTTCAGGTTGATGGTTCAGAAAGACAACTTCATTGTGGAGATTGAACGCAAAAGCATTAAACATACAATAGACATCTTAAAAATCAAGTTTATTTCTTGAAATTTGTCCAAGACACTGGAGGAATGTGTATCCAGTGTTTCGAGAAAGAATCATGTTACAATTACCTGTGTATGTTTTGAGGTATAGTTTAATCACTATTAAAGCCACTCTTAAATATCTAACAAGACAGGAGGAAATCTCCTTAAAAGCAAAAAAAATAAAAAAAAAAATAAAGAAAAAAAAACACTTGTCAAGACTTGCCACTAACAGATTTTCAATGGACAAGCTTACAATCGTTAAGAAATCCCTTTTCATCTCACCTTGAAGCCATGCAACTTTGCAACACAGAGCACAGGTGACAGGAAAAATAATATAATCTAAAAACACTAAAGAAAAATGAACCAAAACTGTTTATTTTGAATGCATTTTGAGAGCTCCGAGTCTAGATGTGGTAGACACAGCCATGATGTAAAATACAACCATACAATACATTAGAATCAAAAAGGTACCAAAAAGTACAGTAAAAAAATAACACTTCCATCTCTGGAAATGTAAAAGGACACAAAAAACAAAAACAAAAAAAATAAAACAAATGTGACAAGTGACATTTGCACCCCACCCCCCCAGTTCCTTATGTTTTCTGTACAAAATGAAGCAGAAGTCCAGATTCTGCCAGCTTCCAAAAGTAAAAGACCCCAATGTTCACTGTGACCAGACGGCTGGTTCCTGCTCGGTAGCTTTACGACCTTTAAGAGAGAAAACACTGATTTAGTTGCTTTTAAATCACATTTACAATACATGTATTGTATAAAAAAAAAATTAAAATAAAAAAATGAAGTGAAGAGATGGGGCCTATCATGATCTACCACTACAACCCTACTGTATCACTACAACCCTCCCCAAACGGATCGTTCTATCGGCCTTATAGTTCGGCTGGGTCAATGGAGATGAATTGGTAATGGAGCGACAGTTAAATTAACCTTACCATGAGTGGTGGGAAAAAAGTTAAAATTCATACCTTAACTACACATGATCAGTATGGCTTGTAGCTACTCTGGTGAGCCCCACGTCTTGGAGTTTTTCCATAGCTTGTATTGCCCTGGTCTAGGGGGGTAAGAAGAGCAGAGAAAGGAACTTGAGTCCCTCGTATTCACAAGAACCCAACGGGGACGGTGGGGAAACCCCAAGGTCAATCAGTGCTTACTGTAGTCATATCCTCCGCCGTAGCCGCCGTAGTAGCCTCCAGAGTAATCGTAGTTGCCGTAGCCTCCGTATCCACCGTAACCTTGCTGTCCGCCGTAGCCATAACCCTGGTTACCATAGCCTTGATTCCAGTAGTTGTTGTAGCCCTGATTCCAGTTCTGACCCTGGCCTATAAAACAAAAGAAACCATTTCAAACACACCATATCTGCAAGCGACTTAAATCTTTGCATGCGGGGGGGGGGGTATTAGAACAGATTTGAGATCAGCCAAATCTTTTAAGACGGATAAAATCTGAAGATTTCACACATAAAAAAAAAATAAAAAAAAATAAAAAAGTATGTGAGCAACACAAAAGCCCCATTCGGACGGGGTTAACTTTACAAGGGTAGATGGAGTAATGCAATTTTACCACAAATATTAATCGCCAATTCGCATTAAGATATCTCAGGAAAACTAGTAGAAGTGGGAGGGGTAACTCGATTTGTGCTTCGCCGTCACCCTCCTGTCGTCATGTGTTTATTACGTTGCTTCCCTGATATCACGTGCGCAAACACATAACCTATATTTATATATAAAACAGTTGTGTCCGGTCGAACGATGTATTAACTTCAGATTGGATTGTGTTGGTAATAGGCACTTACCAAACGCTAAAAGATGTTTCGTGCCTCTAACAAGTGCTTTCTATCTTCTTTCTGATCTGAATGGTATATGGAAAACACTTGAGAAAAAAAAAAAACTTCCTTTTAAACAGGAAATGACAAAATATTTACGTGCATTACGGCGGGTCTATTCGCACGGGAATAGCATTACCTGAGGTCATTTTTCCGGACGTTTTTACTGAAGGTAAAAGTCGCCGTAATCTTTACTGACATTGTCCATAATGATTACGGAGATGGCACATTCAGACGGGACTAAAATCACAGAGAAGCTCTGGTAATTACTTCACCCCACCTCTCCATGTCCTGTCCAAATAGGGCTATAATCTCATTCATAATTTGTTAAAGGAATTACAAATGTTTAACATTAACCCCTGGTTTCACAGACAAGGCTTAAAGGGATAGTTCACCCAAAAATGAATCTTGTTATTTACTCACCCTCAATTTGTTCCAAACCTGTATGAATTTCTTTGTTAGGGTAAGTGATGACAATTGGGTGAACTATCCTTTTAAGCCTAGTCTCAGACTAAAATGCATGTTTGAGCCGTTTTAACGGAAAGTAACTTTCACTAGTATATCTTAAAATATGTCAGTGCCATTGTTTTTTCTCAAGATGCACATCAGTAATATTTTAAGGTATGTTTATAAAAGCTGTCCTAATTGAACTAAGGCCTAATCCTGGCTTAATCTGAGCCTTGTCTGTCAAACCAGGCCTTAAATCAATTTAGAAGACATCCAGATTCAGAAAGTTTGTTAAAACTAGCCTGCATTCGATTTATATACAGATAGACAAGGGGGACTATACCGAGTTGTTTTGCTGTTGCAGATCAGTGCATACGAGTCATTATCTAGTTAAACTTTACACAGACTAACGCAGCCTGCAGTTTGAGTGGCAGATGAGAAAGTCCAACTGGAAATAGACGTTAGGCTTTACTAACCTCCACGCCCCCTTCCTCTTCCTCCTCCTCCTCCACCTCCAAAGCGACCTCCGTACTGCTGCTGCTGGTACACTTCCTTAGGCTGTGCAATCTTAATCTCGCACTGGGAGAAAGAAAAGACAATTGAGTGAATAATGAATGAGGAGTCATAAAACATCTACATAAAACACTGCCATTAAAATCAATGCTGAAAATATTTTGTATTGTATAAAATTTTACATTATATTGATGGCAAGAATAATGGGGTAGTACAATGTCAAAATATGAACAACAACCCTGAGGACTTATCACATTTATCAGTAAATTGGTCACACTGGAAACACTCACAAGGCCTTCTTTTCCATTTGTGTCCTTGGTTCCACTGACGTTGTGATATTTCTTTTCCAGAACTTTCTTGACAGCCTCTTCATCCTTGAAGGTAATGAAGACAAACCCTCTCCTCTTATTTGTCTTTGGGTCCATTGGAAGTTCGATAGTCTCAATCTGCAGCGCCAATAAATAAATAAGAGTTAACAAATGCACACGTTTAAAATGCAGAAGAGACAACTACAGATGCAATGTAAAATAGCAACAGAAAAGGGCAGAACATTTGCAGGGAATTAAAAGTCTGTGCAAATATCAAGAGAGAATAAGTTTTTACACTGGCAATATATACTTGATTATTTTTTTTAATTTTACAAAAACAAATGAATGCATATTTTCAAAGTAAAACCTAATAGACTGAATGTCTACTTTTTTTATCTGGTTAAATAAAAATACAAATGATTTAAAAAGAATCTAAAAAGTAATGCTCCAATACCTCGCCAAAGGCACCAAAATACTCGCGGATCCTCTCTTCTGTAGTTTCAGGGTTCAGTCCACCGACAAAGATCTTCTTAACGGGTTCTTTCTTCATCGCCATCGCTTTCTTAGGGTCAATCTGTCGTCCATCCAATCTGTGCTCTTTTTGTGCTAAAACCTGTGCAAAGAAGAGGAATTTGTGAGTCTTCGATGGTTACCCACATCACAAGAATATAGGTTTTCCTAAGCACCAAAGCTTACCTTATCTACACTGGCTGGCTCTTTAAAAAGAATAAACCCAAATCCCCTTGATCGTCCAGTGTTGGGGTCCATTTTGATGGTGCAGTCTGTCACCTCTCCAAATTTAGAGAAGTAGTCTTTAAGATCCTTTTTACTAGTGTCCCAGCTGAGCCCCCCAACAAACATTTTCCTGAGGAAACGAAGCAGAAAAAGGGAGTGAGACCAGGAGGGGGCGTGGTAGCGCAGATTTCACAATTTCTCCATTTCTTGCATAAAAAAAGGCACTTTACTAATACTAATAAACGGAAATAAAAACTGCAAAACAACACAGATACATTTTTAAACGCACACAAACACAAAATCATAGGCCTAAGTAAACACTGAATTTTAAAACGTATCTTTATGCTCAATTCACCAAATTCGCCCATCCCCCTACAAAAAAAAAAGACACATGGCGCCAACAAAGACGGAAGGAACAAAGGATTTTATATCCGAGCATTTAGCACAATTATTCCTCGAACATACCCCGCATCTTCCTCTCCTTTGCTCGCGTCAATTTGCCCGCCGTCCGATGCACTAGTTTCGTCTTCATCCCCGGCCGTTTCGTCCGCACCGGCGTCTCCCTGCGCCCCGGCCTGTGCGCTCCCGTTGCCCTCCTCGTACTGCCCGGCTCCGTTCAGATCGTCCTCGCCCTCGTGGCCGTTTTCTGAGGTTTCCATATACTGCTGCTCGGCGTCTGACATGGTGGTAGTTTAATGTAAAAACCTAAAACTGCAGAAAATGTGTAATGGTTACAAAAGGAAGCGCCTTATGTAACGCACAAGCACCACCATTTTGAACAGCGGCGGTTACATTCTCATTTGCAACGAGAATGTAAACATATCGTTGTTTTAATTCATAAATACACAACTTTACTGGCCTAGAATTTAATACGACGGTTAACACAACTAAATACGCACATTGGGGCTAACAAATTCATTATTTGCTCGTAAATACTTTACCTTAAAAGCAGCAAGTGAAAAGTCTCCGTGGAACGCTTTCCGCGGTGTGGGCCCTTCCTTATTGCGCCGACAAGCGGTTGGTTTTATATTACTGGATGGTAGATAAAGGAATTTTAGTAAGGGCACATTTGATTGGATGACTTCGAACGCCTATCAACCTGACAGCCAATTAAATATGTCTTTTACACGTCACAGAAATCCTCCCCCAAACGCGCTTCTTCTGAACCTTCGTGTCGAGTGGGGGAAGAAGTCTTTGTTCTTGTTTGGTTTATAAACATGTTGTTGACCACTTGTACATATAATGAAGTGTATTTATTTATATTTTTAGAAGCATTCTGCAAAGAAGATAATGCAAGAAACAGCCGTTTGTATTGGCTATGCTTAATCAAAATACTAGTACGAAGAGGTTAGATACATTTGCAATAGGCATTAGAATCATTAGCATGCTAACATTCATTTTGTTGTTGAGATCGTAGAATTATATTTCAGTCTACGGAATTATTCACATTAAACATTGATTGTGAGTTGAATGTTTGTTTATCGCAATCAGAAGGGTAAACATGTATAAAATAGCACGATTTATTGAGAGATGAATGTGTAAGAATAGGCCAGATCTACTGTTGTAGTAATCAGTGACAAAAAGATACTGTACAGTAAATGTGCAATTTTATCTTACATTTAAATTAACCATGACATAAGCAAACATATTTGATAGCACAGTAAATCAAGGGTTAAATAACATTGTTTATTAACAACATTATATTTTATAAAGCAGTTTGAATGATGAGAAAAACATCCAAAATAGATCAAGACAGTAACTTGTTGGTAAATTCTTGTTGCTTGAAAAACAAATCAGGCTGCCTCCTTTACTACTGTTCCATCACATATTCTGGGCTTATTTGGGTTATTATTCATCAGCCAGTCAGCAAGCCATGTCTGTAAAGAAAAATAATACAGTACAAAAATAAATAAGTAAATAGCAAATAGATATATCAGAAAATCCAGGACGCAGTTGTTCAAAAAGTTTAATTTGAATAAGAATGATTAATATTTGGACATCCCACGTCTTATCCGGGATCAGGTAATCCATTTTACTCAGAATCCGGTTTTATAAACCAACATTAGATTGGATCGCCTACAATGGGACTACATATTACAATGATGGCTACTAGCTGTATAAGAACAACAGATCCAACCATCAGCATGGGATCACTAAGTATTTTTATTTTTAAGAGAGAAAATAGCACAATAAAACAATATAAACAGATATACATGCAATAACCCTCTGGGGTTGTTCGTTTAACAGTCACACTTGAGGTGTTCGGGTCCAAATGGACCCAAAGGGCAGGATTCATATTTAAAAAAAAAAAATCATAATTTTTTTTAACTTGTTTTTTATATAAAAAAAATTCTTTTCTTTTTTGGTGTTGTGAGATATTTCATGATTTATAATTAATATTTATTTATTTTTTATTTATTTATTTTTTAATCAAAGCTGTATTATATTTTAGAGTGAAGCCTAGGCCTCATGAAAGCAATTTTTGAAAAAAATATAGATGCCATTTGGTGGACACACTATATGCAATAGCACATTTTTACCACTAGTGGATTTACAGCTCTCTGTAGAAAGGCTTGGGGATTCTAGTGATTTTAGAAAATATATACCAATTTTTTTTCAGGTTGTTGATTTTTAAAATATAATAACAGATTCTCAAAGACTATTTTTGTCTTGTTTTTTGTTTGTTTGGTTGGTTTAAATGGTAATTTGAAGTGCCAGTTTTACTTTATAATACAGATTATTATAAATATATAATACATTTCCAATGGGGGTCATTTGGACCCGAAGGTCCTAAGTGTGAGTATTTTTTTTTTTTTTTTTTTACAACCACTTAGACTATTCAAATAGACTATTCTGTTTGAATAGTCTGTGTTTTCATATTGAATAATCTGTGTTTTCATATTTTTGACAATTTCACATTCATTTCCTATGGGGGTCCATTTGAACCCGAAGGTCCTGAGTTTGACTATTTTTTTTTTACAACCACTTAGACTATTCAGATCCTGTCCCCAATTTTTTGTGTGTGTTCATATACCAAATACCAACAAAGTCACCAAATTTCAGACCATTCCGAAGAAGCTGTGATTTTTAACATTTTTTTATTTGAATGATTCGGGTCCATTTGGGCCGAACAACCCCAGAGGGATAAGGGATGCAATTGTTAGAACCTTCTTTTGACCATTTCATTAATATACAGCCATAAATGACTGTTTTTGTTTGATATTGATAGCTGTTTTTTTTTTTTTACTTTATTGTACTGAAAGTTAATTGATAGTCCACTACTATATCACTGTAACGGTTAAATCAAATGTAAAATATAAATCTATATATACTGCATGATGCAAATGTTTGTTAATGTTTATTATGTATTGGTAATTATTGTTGTAACCATTTTTATAGTGTTTGTTCCTGAAATCCATCCAGAATTCAACCATCATCTGGGATCAGGATAGATTTTTTTTGGATCACAGGTATCTGTTACGATCTACTCCCAGTCTAGGGTTGGGAGAGGGTAACAAACTTAAATAAATAGAAAAGAACGTAAACGTGGAGGGTTCCCTTCAGTCCTCTGCCCCAGAAATGTGAGCAAACACTTGATGCAAACGTAAAATGATTTATTGCATTTAAACAAAGAAAATGGAAGCTTTCAATCTTCAGGAGAAGGTCAGACCAAAACAACAAACAAAAGAGGAAGCTTACTATTTGAAGGAAAACTAAATGCCCTACACAGGTAAAAGAAAATAAATAAACAACATATGCTTCCCTCCACTCCCTGACTAACCAAAAACAAGGATTAATATATAAAAAGAAAAAGGTGGTGACTCAATCTCCCTACTGCTTTCCAAAACAAACAAAAAGTTGCTATACAATACCTTTTAGTTACCAAACAAAGTTATAAAGAAGAAAAAAAAAAAGAGATTGCTTGATCACACAAAGCACACCAAAAACAAGCTCAACTGTACCACACAGGGACAACACACCAGTTTCACACTTAGCAACACACAAGTCTGGTGCAGGGGAGAAGTGAACCTCCTCAAGCAGTGTTCACTCTGCTCTCTTATAGTGTAGCTCTGCAACTCTCCTTACGAGCCTCAGGTGTGGTTAATTAGCTGCAAGGCAATCAGAGTGAGGGAGAGACTGACAGAGCATAACAAACACAACAATTTAACAAAGTAAAATACACATCAAAAACACTTTTAATATAATACGTCTCCAGGACGTAACACCTCCACCACCAAGAATACAAACTAGAGTTTGTAGTCAAATATATACACCCTTACCACATTCTTATTTAAGAAAGGTACAAGGTTCAAAGAAAACTGTATCCCTTTAAACTCTAGAGAGAGCATCAGCCATAACATTTTCAGTGCCTTTCTTGTGTCGGATGTCCAGATCATATCCTTGGACAGTGAGAGACCACCGTAATAGTCGCTGGTTGGAACCTGACATACGGGAAAGGAAAACCAAAGGGTTATGATCAGTGTATACAACAATAGGCTTAGAGCTACTCCCCAAGTATACATCAAAATGTTGAAGAGCCAACAACAAGGATAGAGCTTCCTTTTCGATTACACTATAGTTTTGCTGAGTCTTGGAGAACTTTTTAGAAAAGTAAGAGACAGGATGTTCAATATGGCACTCATCCTCTTGAAGCAAAACTGCACCAGCTCCTTTAGCACTTGCATCCACCTGCAGACTGAAAGGCATTTTGAAGTTTGGGGCTGACAGAACAGGAGCATGACAGAGGAGATCTTTGGCAGCATCAAAGGCAAGTTGACAGTCATTGCTCCATAAGAATCTTCGGTTTGTACTAAGGAGGTCTGTAAGAGGAGAGGCTATGGCAGAAAAATTGGGACAGAAACCTCGATAATACCCACTCATTCCGAGGAAGCGTCTCAACTCTCGTCTATTACAGGGTACAGGGAACTCAAGAATGGCTGCAATTTTAGCATCAACAGGTTTAACCATTCCCTGACCTACTTGTTTACCCAAGTAGGTAACAACTCCTTTCGCAAACTCACATTTGGCAAGATTTAGAGTCAAGGAAGCAGCAGTTAGGCGTTTGAACACTTTCTCGAGTGTTTTCACATGATCTGTCCAGTTATCCGAATACACCACAATATCATCCAGATATATCTCACAGTTAGTCACATCTGAGAGTACTTGATACATCATACGCTGGAACGTAGCGGGAGCGTTTCGCATTCCAAAAGCTAGAACCTGGTATTGTAGGAAGCGGTCAGGCGTGACAAACGCTGAAATCTCAGAAGCACGTTGGCTGAGGGGCACTTGCCAATAACCTTTTAACAGATCTAGTTTTGTGACAAAGTTTGCTAATCCAACTCTATCTACACAATCTTCCATCCTTGGAAGAGGGAAAGAGTCAGGTTTTGTTACTTTGTTGACCTTCCGATAATCAGTGCAAAAGCGAAAGGTGTTGTCAGGTTTTGGGACAAGTAAACAGGGGGAGCTCCAAGGGCTCTGGCTGGGGACGGCCAGCCCATAGCGCAGCATATACTCAACCTCTGTCTGCATGATCTCACGTTTTCTAGGATTTGCCCTGTAAGGATGTTGTTTTATGGGGACAGAATCACCAACATCAATGTCATGAACACACACAGTAGTTCTACCCGGCACGTCACTGAACAAGGTAGGGAAGGCACGCAGTAATTCAATTAAACCACAAGATTGTTCATTAGTCAGATGAGAAAGAAAGTGTGGAAGATCTTTCATTATAGCAGAATTATTTAACCTGGTAGAGGAAATTGGTACATCTCTACACATTAAACCATCTTCCTCTAGTGAGTAATTCGCCAATACACCTACTGTGGCAACAGAGGACACCACTGGTTGAACCGCAGTTTGCTCTACTGTCAAGTCACAATTAGCCCTGTTCACATAGGGTTTAAGCCTGTTTACATGACAAACACGGCTTTTACATTTGCGGTCTGGGGTCGCAATCAGAAAGTTTGACTCATTTAACTTCCTTTCAACCAGGTATGGACCAGAGAACTTTGCATGTAAAATAGAACCAGGTGTGGGAAGTAGAACCATGACACGATCACCAGGACTAAAATCTCTTTTCACTGACTTTTTGTCAAAATAAGCCTTCATCTTAGACTGTGCTGTAGACAGATGAAGCTTTGCAAGAGTTTGGGCCTTGTGGAGTTTCTCACGAATAGAAGTGACATAGTCATCAACAGGCAAAGCTATGGAACTTGGATTCAGCAGCTGTTCACTTAACAGTTTTAGAGGGCCACGCACTGTGTGGCCAAACACCAGCTCAGCAGGGCTAAAACCAAGGGACTCCTGCACAGATTCTCTTACTGCAAACATCAGAAAAGGAAGACCCTCAACCCAGTCTTTCCCGGTTTCCACACAATATCGTCGTAGCATTGTTTTAAGGGTTTGGTGGAAGCGCTCCAGTGCACCTTGCGACTCAGGGTGATATGCCGTAGAAGTTTGATGGCATATTCCAAGGGTTTCTAATGCCTGTTTAAAAACCTTGGAAGTGAAGTTTGACCCTTGGTCACTTTGAACTACTTTTGGTAATCCAAAAGTAGCACAAAACTTGAGTAGTTCTTTTATCACTACCTTAGCTTTCAACGTGCGTAAAGGAACAGCCTCTGGAAAGCGAGTCGCAGCACACATAATGGTCAGAATGTATTGATGTCCTGACTTAGCTTTGGGCAACGGTCCCACACAGTCAACAATTAAGCGATCAAATGGGTCACTTACAACTGGAATAGGATAGAGAGGTGCAGGAGGGATCTTCTGGTTGGGTTTTCCACCTACGCATTAACAATCCACGTTCCCAAAAGAAAGCTACACCCGAATTAGGCACATGTGAAGTACCATCTGCAGCCGCTATACACTTGGCTAGGGAAGGATCTGCTTTTTGTGCCGTAGCTAAGTATTCTCTTCCTGTCTTTGGAGGGGTCTCAGAGTTTAATTTTCTATGGATAGCTACGTCACGGTCAGGGTCTGGAGTAACAGACAAGACCCACTCTACAGAGCCAGGCTCATTAATCAAAAATGAGTCTGAGATATCCACCACCTCCTCAAATTTCTTGGACTGGGCACGGGTAACTGCGCAGGCAGGAAAAACGGACGGGAAATTCTCGGCCAGATCAGATTTCTGTATTGCACTCGGTTTATATGACACAACTGGTCTAGGAAAAACTGTGCCACCCGCAAGGTCATTCCCTAGAATCAGATCAACACCCTCAACAGGCAACTGTGGACGCACTGCTAAACTGACCACACCACTGACAATGCTCGACCTTAGATACGCAGTATGAAGTGGCACATTCACACAGTGCATTTCAATTCCACGAATCAGCACGTCATTACCCGTAAAAGAGTCAGCAGAGAAAGGCAATATATCCTCGGAAATAAAGGATTGAGCTGCACCTGTGTCACGCAAAATTGTTACAGTTTTAAAACCAGAATCAGGAGATAGGGAAACTGTGCCTTCAAATAAGAAAGGATGATAACTCTCTCCACTAAGAGAGCTGTCATTACACATGGTGTGCACAAGTGCCACGTTTCGGGGTTTGGAAACCGCGCTCTTTTGTTTCCAAGCCTTACAATCCGCAATCAAATGGTTTGGATCAAGGCAAAAAAAACAAACTCGCCTATCATCACTGTTTGTAGGTTTACGCACAAATTTAGATGCAGAGTCACTTTTAAATGAATGTCCTGCACGCGGTACTGGTGAGCTTTCCACATTCACAAATGGAGACCGGGCAGATGCGTGGGCTGAGAACACATTTCTGTGTGTCAGCACAAACTCATCTGCCAAGACCGCAGCACTAGCTAATGAGACCACTTTTTGTTCATTTAAGTGCATTACGATATTTGTCGGAAGACAATTTTTAAATTCCTCTAGCAAGATTAATTCCTGTAATTCCTCTAAGGATGTAACCTTGCTAGAAAAACACCACTTTTCAAAAAGAACTCTCTTTTCTCTTACAAACTCAACATACGTTTGTTTGACTGTTTTTGAATGAGCACGAAACTTCTGTCGGTAGGCCTCAGGGACCAGTTCGTACGCTCGCAGTACTGCAGCCTTGACAATATCATAGTCCAGAGAGCTTTCAATTGGCAGAGCCGAACAAACTTCTTGAGCTTTTCCGGTTAGACTACACTGGAGTAATAAAGCCCACATATCTTTTGGCCACCTCAATTTACTAGCGACGCGCTCAAATGCGACAAAGTACGAATCGACTTCGGTCTCTCTAAATGGAGGTACAAGTCTTATATACTTACTGACATCGAAATAGTCGCTAGGGGGTGCATGAGAAAAATCCTCTGTGACGGTACTACCACCAGTCGTTAAGGGTGATGCGACTGATGGGGGCCTAGTACGTGGAAGTGGTATTGGGTTTCTAGCCAGGCGCTGTGATTCTAGATCCAATCTACGGATTTGGACATCTCGGTCAGCCTGCCTCTCCACTACACGAAGCTTTATAACTTCTGCCTCACATTCCTGTTTTTTAATTTCAAGTTCCAACTCCTTTAACTTCAAAACAATGTTTGGATCCTGAGACATAGCCGACTCATAGTTGAGATTCTCCCCCTCCGCTTCCAATGATTTAACCTCAGTGCTCTCATCACTCTCTCTAGGCAAAATACCATCCTCTACTAATTTCTCATACAAGTTGTCCTTAAGTACTTGTTTAGTGACGTCTTTTTTTACAGAAACATTAAAGAAATCAGCTATCAACACTAGATCCTTTTTCTTACAGCGATTAAACGCTTCAACAGTAGGAGAAAGAGTAAACTCAGTAAAATCAAACTCCATTATCCAAATGGCCACTACACTTTCCTCCGCACCTACAGTCAAAAACAGTCAAATGTTGAGAGAAGAGAGTACTTACCAGCAGCCAATTAACGGACGGACGAGCCCCCACTTGTTACGATCTACTCCCAGTCTAGGGTTGGGAGAGGGTAACAAACTTAAATAAATAGAAAAGAACGTAAACGTGGAGGGTTCCCTTCAGTCCTCTGCCCCAGAAATGTGAGCAAACACTTGATGCAAACGTAAAATGATTTATTGCATTTAAACAAAGAAAATGGAAGCTTTCAATCTTCAGGAGAAGGTCAGACCAAAACAACAAACAAAAGAGGAAGCTTACTATTTGAAGGAAAACTAAATGCCCTACACAGGTAAAAGAAAATAAATAAACAACATATGCTTCCCTCCACTCCCTGACTAACCAAAAACAAGGATTAATATATAAAAAGAAAAAGGTGGTGACTCAATCTCCCTACTGCTTTCCAAAACAAACAAAAAGTTGCTATACAATACCTTTTAGTTACCAAACAAAGTTATAAAGAAGAAAAAAAAAAAGAGATTGCTTGATCACACAAAGCACACCAAAAACAAGCTCAACTGTACCACACAGGGACAACACACCAGTTTCACACTTAGCAACACACAAGTCTGGTGCAGGGGAGAAGTGAACCTCCTCAAGCAGTGTTCACTCTGCTCTCTTATAGTGTAGCTCTGCAACTCTCCTTACGAGCCTCAGGTGTGGTTAATTAGCTGCAAGGCAATCAGAGTGAGGGAGAGACTGACAGAGCATAACAAACACAACAATTTAACAAAGTAAAATACACATCAAAAACACTTTTAATATAATACGTCTCCAGGACGTAACATATCCCAATCCTGAAAAGTTTGAACACATACTGAATGTTTGATTAAGATGAAAACCATGATTAGATTATGTGATCTAATCTGATTTCAGAATACTATTTTTCTTCTTTTGAACAACCCATTTTCAAGATCTGATCCAATCCGATAGCTGAAATCCAATTGAATTTCTTTTAAACAATTGGGCACAGGGTGACAAAAGGCATTACAGTTTTCAGGTGAAGAAATTATTCACCCAGAAATTTAAATTATGTCATTATTTATTTGTCCCCATGTAATTCCTAAGCTCTGACTTTTTCTTTTGGGAAAAAAAGCATGATATATTTTAAAGAATCTTTGGTTACAGTTTTTTTTACGGTGTCAGTATTACAGTGTATTTATACATTTAAGTACAGAGTAGTAACAATTATTATAGTAGTAATTAAAAATAAAGTGTTACCGAATTTTTAGAATTATTATTTTTTTAAATACTTTATCTACTATAGGGTTAGGATGTGTACAGTAAGTATGCATCATTTATAGGTATTACTACAGTAACTACATGTAACATCATTAAACATGTAGTTACTGTAATAATTATAAATTATGCATAATTACATGGAATTAACCCTAAACCAAACCCTCATAACCCTATAGTAGATAAAGTATTAAAAAAAATAATTCTAAAAAGATTCAGTAACACCATTTTACAGTGTCAAAATAACACTGTAAAATAAAAGTTACCAAATCTTTTTACAGAATACCAAATTATATTTTTTAATACTTTTATAAAAAAGATACACTTACAAAGGGGTCCATTGGCTTTTTCTTGCACAGCTCCGTCAGTCCAGTGAGAAGTGTTGGGCTAACATACCGGCTCAGGTAATCTTTGGCAGCATCTCCCATGGGAATGGGTTCAATCACAGCTGAAAAAGAAATCAGTTTTTATTATGCTTTCAAATACTGTTCATTAAACTAATTTGTTCAGAGTTAGATTCACTCACAGTTGGGAAACATGAACCTGATCTCCTTCTCAGCAGCAGAGAAGGAATCACTGCCATGCACAGCATTGCGCAGGTCACACGTGCCCAGTCTAGCTCTCAGACTGATGATGGCATTCAGTGTTGATGTGCATTTCCCAGAAAGAGAAAAAAACAATTAAAAAAATGGACTGTTACTTTGAAACATGACGCGTATGCATTTTTAATATAGACTTGTTGCAATGACAGAAACGAGGTATGTGATTGATTTAGGCACTGCAATGAACATCAGCTTTGTAAATTATTAGCCTGAAGTGTATAAAATACACAAAACTATCAATTTATTTGGCCAGGAGTTTGAAAGGAACACAAAATGGTGCAACTGTGATAGTTGTCTCAACAGTACATGAGAATTTAGCTTCATAAGTCAGCCATTTTATTATTAAACCACCTGCATAGAGAGAGAAGAGTCATTCAATGACATTCATTACCAGTCAGGATGTGTCTCTCTAGCCTTTATACTGCTGACTGGTCCCATTATGGCTTTCCAGGTGGCAATAGCCTGGTGTCGGGCCAGTGCTAGAGCAACCACTGGTCCGGAGCTCATGAAGGCGGTCAGATGGGGAAAATACAGCTTCCCATAATGCTCAGCATAGAAATCACTGCATTGCTCTGGACTCAGTTGAAGCCGCCTTTTCTGTCAAATGAGAAACAAGAATGCAAATCTGGCTAAACTAAATCATTGCCCACAAAATATGAGCTGTTAGTTAATAAAAGCGACAGTATATTTCTGCTGTTGCTTAAAGGATAGTTCACCCAAAAATGAAAATTGTCATTTACTCTCTCAAGTTGTGCCAAACCTGTAAGTTTCATTTTTCTGCTGAAAAAGATATTTTAAAGAATTGGTCACCATGGTCTTTTGTTCCTACTAGTATGGATCTCAATGGCTAGAGTCAACTGTCTGGTTACCCATATTCTTCTAAATGGATTTTGTGTTAAGCAGAAGAAAGAAACTCATACAGGTTTGGAACAACCAATTACAGTTTTCATTTTGGGGTGAACCATCAGTTTAAAACTAGCTACATGATTTCAGCAGCGTCTACCAATTAGTGCCAGCAGACATCACGTGACTGTCTTGGGTTCACAATATAACTAAAATTTAGTGCTTATGTCAATTAAGTTACCAGAAAACATCCTGTGCATCATGTTAAGTATTTAGTACAAATGCGCAGTGCCTTTCCACTTAAGCAAGTTAACTTACCTGCAGAATTGTAAATCCAGACTGAAGAATAATGTCCTCAATTTCGTCAGTTTTGTAGATGGCATCAGGTTTGATTAAAGCCAAAGTTCTCTCCAAGAAGATACGAGGTTCTGGCATCTGTTTTTGAGGACTGTCGCTGTCCATGACTTTAAATCAGCTAACGTTAGTTTGACACAATTTTACTGTAACGTTAACGTACTGGACTTTTTCACGGTTAAATTCGAAGCAACTTTAATTGCCAGGGAGACATTCTCAAATTATAAAGTATAAATAGTCTTAGTTACCAGAGTGAAAGCACAATTAACACGTTTCTAACCTTCAACACATAAAAAAAAAAAGTTTATTTAATTCAGACGTCCGACTGTATCATGTCGCGACCTCTGAGAAGAGTCGGGTTTGTTAGCCTTGTTGCTAGGTTACAGTTGCAAAACTTAAATCTACATGCAGCAGTGCCATCTAGTGGCTGTACAAGCCTATTTCAGTGACTCGCAAGGTTACATTTCAGTTCTTAGTTTATTGAAAGGCAGAGAAAGTAAACAGTCAATTATAGCTCTTTTTAAAACTTTTTATTCAGGCATTAGAAAAGGCTTCTATCTGGTTCCAATGGTCACCTGCCACACTCGGATCAGGTTGTCAGTGTAGCCAGCAAAGAGAGTCTGTGACGAGAAAAGAGAAAGGAATTACAATCAGGCATTCTTTTAGAAGCACTATTGATTTAAAAGCATATTACTAATCCCCTCATATTTGCAGGACTGACATCACAAGGTTTCAGATGTTAAAAGTGATTGGGAATAATCAATGGGGAAGCTGGTCCAGCCAGAATTTAGGCACCAAAAGGCACTCGCAAGACACCAAATCAGATGAAGTGCAAGTCCAGGAACTCATTCCAGGCAGAAAAGGTTGCTGTAAAACCCACCTGTCCATCAGCAGACCAGGCCAGAGACGTGCACTGAGGCGGCTCAGCCTTGCTGTTGGTGGTGATGATGTCCTGTCTCAGCTCATCAACAATGATCTTGCCCTCCAGATCCTGTTGAGACAATACAGTCAAGCTTTGCAACAGCAGAATGAAAATGCCATTTCTGCTCGAGCCAATAGTTCTCAGAAACAGCCTCTTTATCATCAAAGAAATACAGAAGGCGTTTAGAGTTTCATCACTGAACCCAGTGCGCTGATATAAACGGTTACTTTAAGTCACCATGAAATCAAAACCGAATTAGTTTTTGATGGAACATTGCAGTATTTATGATTTATCTGTGCACATTTTTAAATGCATCTGTCCTCATTATCTTTAAGTTGGCATGAACTTAAAATTTACACCATTTAGTTTGTGTCACGCAAACTATTCAAAATAACTGCCCCTGCCACTTGCAGCATCTCCTCTCTGAAGTGTTTACGGTGTGAGGGCGGGGCAACCTGTCACTCACATCAGCTCCACCAATCAAGTCCCAACTTACACTTTCTTGTTCAAGAAGTCGTTTCACTTGGATATACGTCACAAAATGGAAAAGACTATCGCAACTTTAATTTCATGCCGACTTTAAAATATACTGAAGAGAAAGCCCTTTACATTCAAAGGAAGTTTATTTTAGGTATACAGTCCATTGTACATTATATAATATAATAGAGAAGTGTGTATTCATATAAACTCACCCAGATCTTGATGCTGGGTCCAGTGGCGGCACACAGCCAGTAGCGGTTGGGGCTGAAGCAAAGGGCGTTGATGGTGTCCCCACCATCCAGGGTGTAAAGGTGCTTGCCTTCATTCAGGTCCCATAGCATGGCCTGCCCATCCTGAAATATAAGGACAAACAGTAAATACAGATTGAAAAGCAAACACATCTTCCTGATATCACAATACTTTGTGTTCAGAAACAGCCTCTTGTCATCACATGAATTCAGATGGCGTTTGGTAAGGTTTTCATCATCTCTTTAACACTCAACCCTCATGTCCAACCCATTAACTTCAGTAGTGATAACAGGAAAAAGTAAACGGATTACCTTTCCACCGGAGGCACACAGAGATCCATCAGGAGACACGGTCACTGTGTTCAGGTATCCAGTGTGGCCAATGTGGTTGGTCTTCAGCTTGCAGTTAGCAAGATTCCATACCTATAACAAACATGCATAAATCAAAATGGTTACATTAGCAAATATTAAGCTGATTCATGCAAGCTATTCCTGATTAAAAAATGTTCACTTGCATGTGAATGGTTTCAATGCATTACCCATCATAATTGCAGGACTTGTCAACAGTGCCCAAGAGCTCAGACAATATTAATGTAGATTTCTTTAATCACAGGGTAAAGTCATTACAAAAACACAGATCAACGATTCTAGTTCACATTAAAATGCAACCACAGGTCTCACCTTGACCATTTTGTCCCACCCGCAGGACACAATAATGGGGTTGCTGCTATTGGGAGAGAAACGCACGCATGAAACCCACTCAGTGTGGCTGTCATCCTGTGGATGAAAGTCAAAATAAAGGGCCTCAGAACAGCACAAACTAATCTAAACATTAGGGTATTTGTAGTCAACTTAGACATTTTAAAGTTCTTTAAGACCTGCACATATAAAATTACAATGGTATGTCAACACAGAACAAACCCATGCAATCTCAAAATAAATCATGTATCATGTATAAACAGGCTGGGGCACAAAATCGACAGCACAACAGGGTATCTGCATGCTTAAAACTCTCAAGACAGGCTTTCCTGATAATGTTCAGGGCTCAGACACACTCGGCTTAAATCAAGACGAAAGACATTTCTTTAGCCAAGCATTCATAAAAGGCTTTTCATAATGTGTGCCATTTTATCTGATGAAACCGTACAATACATGATCATCTTTAGCCTAAAATGCTATGAACAGCAGCTACGCTAATTCTTTTTCTATAGATTACAGATTGCACCAGCTCCAGTTTAGATCCAGCCTTTGTGATGTTTTCAGGCGTCAATTGCGAAGGCTTCATATTTGGATCAACACAAATTTTAAATAGAGTATTTTATATTGCAATCATTACGAGCACAAGTTGTAATTGCTGCCTAACGTCACGTGTCGTGTTATCTTAACTGAATACATGTAACGAAGCACATAACATATTATAGCTGTATATTACTGCCATTTGGACATTAATTTGATACTCATCTCTGACTGATAACAGAATACTTCCAAAACTGTAACATTGAAACAAATGTACTAATATCAATATAGAGGATTTTGCTGATATGATGCAGTTAAAAAGGTTTTCCCCAAGAATGTGCAGCATTCACATCCATTGAATTAAATCCACTTTTGCGGTTTAATAATCACATTAGGCCATATCACGATTCGTTATTCCATCCACAAAATTAAGAGTTTTGTTCTACCACTAAAGATATTTAAGACTTGACTTTGAATTTGATCAAGCTAAATTAAAGACATTAAGATTTTTTTAGGGACCCACAGGAACCCTGATGATGTGCAAGTCTCCCGGTTAACCATTCCAACCTTACAGATGTGTACCTGGATGGTGTACTTGCAGACTCCCAGGGTGTTCCACAGCTTGATGGTCTTGTCTCTGGATCCAGACACGATCTGACGGTTGTCAGCAGAGAAGGCCACGCTCAGAACATCCTTGGTGTGTCCAACAAAACGGCGGGTTGTAGTGCCACTAGGTGAGACAAAAGGACAAATTCAGATCAATTTGACATCAAGTAGTCAATGTTGTGCACTTCATATGTTTTTAACCTGACACTCCAGATAGATGATGGCTATGGAATATTGGTAGTGTTTATAGTAAGTTTATTGCCATAACAGCTTCACAAGTTATTTCATAGCAGATACAAATTCAGCATTCAACAAAAAATACAAGAGATGAAAATATTTGATAAAAATCAACTTAGAGAAGACTACTTTTGTACATAACTCAATTTAAATGTTCTGTGATAAAAAAAGAAATGTCACTTCGTAGTCTCATGAAATTAAAAATTGGGCAGACTTAAAATATGTTTACAGTCAAGTTTATGCCACAATATTGAGATTGTGGTGCTTCTTCGCCCTCCAATAAATACCTGATTTACATTCTGAAATTATGATTATCAAATCTGTGGAAATGTTTACAGAAACCGCTAATTAAATTAATAAAATGATTAAAATTAGTGTAAATAACCACATACGCATACAGTGCTATAATGAGTAGAACAAATATTTTTCAAATAACTGACTTTTCTAGTATAAATTTCTTACAGTAAAAATAGGGTCTTTAAACAAGATATAGATGCCTTTTAAATATTAGGGTTGGGGTATCTCATTTGAGGATGATAATATTTGGGGTCCGTTAAAATACTACTAACAAAACCACATTATTTGGGTGATAAGAGTTAAGTTCAGAAACAGCCTCTTTTATCATCACAGTGAGACAGACGGCGTTGAGTTTCATCACCACTTCTAAACCAATGGATGATAGATTGAGTGACCTGACTTCCCATGACTGTCCCTCCAAATACTCACGTTGTCAGATCCCACAGGCGCAGGGTGCTGTCCCAGGACCCAGACAGGGCGAACTGACCATCAGATGAGATGACAACATCACTCACGAAGTGGGAATGGCCCTTCAGAGCACGCTGGGGGATGCCATAGTTGGTCTCATCACGTGTCAGCTTCCACATGATGATGGTCTTGTCTGCAAGATGGACAACAGAAGATCATTCACAAGATCCTTGACTTATAAGCTTTCATTTGTAGCAGATTTTTGGCAACTAGTGGCACATAAAACACACATACACTGGCTACCAACTTTCACTAATGATGCATTATGAACCATTCCGGAATCATAAACTAGGTTTTCATAGTACAAGTAACGGTTTTACACAGAACTAGAGCAGAATGGACTTATTACCCATTACTCAGGGTCATTTAATAGGGCTCATGTATTTGGATACTCATTTGGCTCAAGCGCGGCTCTTTGGACACTTACCCCGGGACGCGGACAGAATCATGTCGGGAAATTGGGGTGTTGTGGCGATTTGGGTGACCCATCCACTGTGACCCTTAAGGGTACCCCTTACCGTCATCTGCTCGGTCATTTTGGCGCAGGAAAGAATCACCTATAAAGGTGGATGGCGTTGGATTTTGTCGGAGGGCCAAATCCTCCCTATCTCTCACGGTGTGGCAAGAGGAAAAGGACGCGGCACACCGGAAGC